TTCTCCTTCTACTTGAGGTCCTTAGGTTGCCAGATATTCATTTAAAGGATCAATACACATGAAGTAAAGATAGTAAAACATAGTATATACTAAAAAGATCTATCTTCATTGTTCTTTGTCTACAGAAAAACTTTTTGCAGCTGCGATTTATAAAATACTAGGCCAAAAAACTGTCCCGCAACTGCATTTTCAAAATAGTGCGGGGAAAACCGCAACTCTGGCAACACTGATGGTGATGTCTAGCATTTTCTGTTCACAATCCAGCATGTGCAGTGCAGTCTGAGACCACTAGTGAAATACATCTGCGTGCTTTTTTTTCAAATAACATTATATGAGTGGATATTAAGCAATATAGGTGAATTTTTTAGACCATCTTTGTATTTGGTTTGTCTCTTTTTGCTTTAATGACTGCAGTACTATAACTGACATGATGATCACAAAACCTGATGATCGTGTTCTCCAGCATGATTTGAGATCATTCAAAGAGCATCTTGTGTTTCAATAGAAGAAAAAAACTTTTGTAGAAAGAATTTCTCATGCTTAGTGTCAGAAATTGGTTATATTCCATTAGTGACCTAGAAACATTGTAAAAAATGATTTCTGCAAGATAATTAAGTTAATTTGAAGTAAATGAAACAAGGATTGCTGGAGTATGTATTAAAAAGATTGTCTCAGTCTTTCTACTTTAGAATTTCACATTCAATTCAATGTGTTTCTTTCCATTTATCTGTAATAATTTACTAGCAATTTCTGGGTGAAAATTTTTCAAAGTAACAAAACTACACCAATTTCATTTCAGTGAGGTCCAGAATTTTACATCATAATTTTTCTCTAGTTTTAATTCTTGAATTTCTAAAACGTTCTGTTTATTTTCAGGTTTAAATGAAAAAAAAAAAAAAAAAGATTTTCCATGTGGTCTCAGACTTGGATCAGCTATAGCAGTGCCTGATACCTGCTGTTCATTTTGAAAACCTCAGTTCTTAAAGCTTGAGTCCATTCACAGATGCCAGACTGACCCAAGGGCTGCAGGTGGAGGGGATTGTGGGAGAGCGAGGCAGCAGAGCTGATGATTGGTGCTCAAACTCAAGGGCTCTTAGAAAGAAAGGGCTGACGCAGCCAAATCCAGCCAACTGCTGCAAAAAAAAAAACTGGCAGAGCTGTGATTTTCAGTGTGTGTGCATTTCAGAGAGAGAAAGTGAATGTTAATATGTGTGTGTGAAAGTGTGTGTGTGTGCCAGTCGCCTTGCCAGCTCTGAGCTGGCTGCTGTATTTCACAATGGCACCGAGGCAGGAGGTATCTGGAATTGACTGACTCAACCCTCATATTGCAACACAGAATCAGCAGACGCCTCTCCGCACGTCACTGCTGTGCAATGATCTGCCTGTTTTCTGATTAATATTGCACTTAATTACATTACACCTTTATTTGATGTCATCATTACAGAATAAATGCACAGAAACACAGGGTATAACTGAATGTGCTGGCCTATATCAGTGTAAAATCACCTATAATAAGATTGTCACGCATGCTTAGAAAAACTACCCACACAGTAAGCAGTCAGACATGGTGCAAGGAAGCCATGTATGTGTGTGTTGTTTGCGCTGCAGTGCAAAGTCTGCTTTCTCCCTCAGCGGTGACCTTGTTCCAGTGTGCGGACCTCGCCGTATGAGGGGCGTGTTTGTGTGAACGTGTGCTAACATCCACCTTTATGCTGCTCTGACACAAATAAACACTAGAAATGCATTATAAGAAAATGTTTTCATCATTATGTTGACTGGAATCAGCTCTCAGGTTTTTGGTATATGTTGTGTCTGACGCTTTGTCTGTGTCCTTTCCTCTAGTCAGACCACTGGATGCCAACAGAGAGCCATATATCTGGAGAAGGTATTGAGCCTTGCTTTCTTTTGTTGTCTTATTCTCATAGGTGCATTACTGATTTAGTGAGGTTATATAATATATAATAAAACAGAGTATAATAAAATGACTCATTCTGGTCCTCAATTCTCATGGCAGAATACCTCTTTGGCAGCTACTGTGTCATTACATTGCACCCATAAAAGCCACCTACAGTAAAAGTTTGGGAAATTTTCTTTTGTTTTAAAGAAGTACTTTAATTCAGCAAGGATACATTAAATCGGATTAAATCAAGAAATCAAAAGAATACTGAAAACAATTATGATTTAAAGAAGTATATTAAGGCAGCAGCACAGCTGTTTTTAAAATTGATAATAATAAGGAATGTTTCTTGAGCAGCAAATCAGCATATTAGAATGATTTCTGAAGGATCATGTGTCACTGAAGACTAGAGAAAATTCCACTTTGCGTCACAGTATAAATTACATTTTAAAATATACTCAAATAGAAAACAGTTATTTTAAATTACAATGTCAAAATATTACTGTTGCATGTTAACCCGAGCAGCTGAGTCTTTAGCCATTTTCAAAAAACATCTAAAGACACATCTTTTTCGCCATTACCTGACCAATTAATACTAGTACTTACCTATTCTATTCTATTCGTTTTGGTCTAATTAATTTTTTTTTTTAAATCCTTGCTATGTGCACTGTGCTAGACTATCTGAGACTTGTCACAGCACTTGTATACTGTTGCTCTCTCGTTGGTCTGATTGCTTCTACTTTGTAAGTTGCTTTGGATAAAAGCGTCTGCTAAATGATTAAATGTAAATGTAAATGTTAACCTTGATTTCAGCAACTATTTATTTTATTGGCAGTCCACCTAAAGAATCAACATAATAACGTTACAATTTAATTAAAATTGTCTATAAAGCAATAAAGTCCTTAAGCAATGCTATATTGTATAAAAAGATGTTTTGGAGAGTAAAAAGTTTTTTTTTTATGTTACATTACAGGTGCTTGAGATCAGTGAATTGGTTTATTTAAGTACCAGTATATTGGTGCTATTTAAAGGAATGTTCCAGGTTAAATATAAATTAGGTTACACTCTATAATCAGCATCTGTGACATGCTGTCAATTACCGCAGGAAATAATTTAAACACTTTAGTTTGTAAAAGCAAAGAAATCTTCAACGACAATGCACTCACTGTACATTTGATGGTGTGCACCAAGGTAAATGTTAAAAATGCATACTATTTTGAAAGTACAGCCTGAACTTTATACGTGTTCACATGAGACTGGTGCAAGAGAATCACTTACAAACATTTTGCAATATGTAATGTTTTACGCACAACCAGGCACAGATTGTTTACACTGAGATAAATCAACCAACAGGAATTCTGTTGATAACACATCTAACAGATATTGCGTCAATAATTTAGATCCTTGCATCAATATTTATGTCTATATAAATTTATGTGTAATGTGTAATTTATTTATGTACATGTATAATGTTGTTTTCAATTAATGATGAGGCAGGTTGTCTAATTAACCTTCCAGAATGCATCAATGTAAAGTTTATACAATAGCATGTCACAGATTCTGTGCTGAACCCGGAACGTTCTATAAAGAGAGAAGGGTTTTCTTTCTCAGTGTTATTCATTTATTCTCTCTCTCAGTGGTGAGGTGGTTGGATGTGTATCAGAGAAGCGGATGTCATCCCAGAGAGACGCTGGTGGAAGTTTGGCGGGAGTTTTCGTGGGAGACAAATCACCTCTTCCTGCCGTCGTGTGTAACACTGCGCCGCTGTGGAGGCTGCTGCTCCGATGAGGCACTGGAGTGTGTGCCGTCACAAACACACACACTTGTAATGGAGGTACGTACACACACAAACCAGTGCACTTAATGCAGAGTTCACACAGGTGCAGTTCCTCACATTAATTATGGACGTGTTCCATAAACATTCGACATCCAGTATCTTTTTATTAATAAATCCTATTTGTTTTGATATTTAGTTTTCTAATGCAATGGTAAAAATGTGACTGAATTGTCCAAATACTTTTTAGGGATCTCTGTGTATCATTACATACACCATTGTTCAAAAGTTTGGGGCTGGTAAGAATTTCTTATGTTCACAGAGGCTGCATTTATTTGATTAAAAAAAATACAGACAAAAAAAAACACTACTATTGTGAAATATTATTACAATTTAAAATAGCTCTTTTCTATTTGAATATAACTTAAAATAGAATTTATACCTGTGATTCAAATCTGAATTTCCTGCAGCCATTACTCTGGTTTTAAGTGTCACATGACCCTTCAAGAAATCATTCTGATATGTTGATTTGCTGCTCAAGAAACATTTCTTATTATCAGTGTTAAAAACAGTTGAGCTGCTTAATATTTTAAAAGCAATGTCCTCTCTAAAATCTTCCTGACACCAAACTTTTGAAAGGTTAATGTACAGTAAAATTCTCTCCATTTCACCACTCACAGAAACACTCATAGAAACCTTTCACACATACATGTACTATTTTACATTCACATGCTTAATGTGGTGGAATGCAACACTCATATTACACACTCACATGTATACGTCAATAATGACAGATTTTTAGGGGCAAAGTACCTCCACACACAAACACACCCCGTATAATGCAAGATCTCAAACCACACGGCTTAGTATGGTGAATAAAACATCCAGAAAGGCACACACACACAGAGGACACACAGCATGAGTTAGTCATACATATTCAGTGTGGGTAGATGAAGTCTCTAGTGTAATGGATCAGGTTGGATCCTGGTCACGTACTGTATAGACAGATTGAGGGATAAAAGATGAAGTCATTACTATGCAGAACAGATTGTGCATGTGTGTGTGTCTGTATGCATGCATTTAAATGCTAACTCCTGCTCTGTTGAACTCCACAGCTCATGAGGACCTCATACATGAAGCATGAACTTGTGCAGCTGCCTTTTATTGAACATAACCAGTGTGAGTGCAGGTGAGATACATGCTCACACACATACACACAAACTGACCTAGCAATGTCAGTAAGGGCAACATACCATAGACTTATATTCCCAAGTAAATCCTAGTAAAATCCTAGTAAAAGTCAATTAAAATACATTTACTTCGTACCAAGTATAGTTCAAATCTATTAACATATTTACTGACATATCGCTCGAGACTTACTGATATAAAAAGTATTATTCAACTTTATTTGGAGTATCACTTGTGCACAATGCACATTTCTTACTATTAAGCCTAAAATGTGTTTAATATCACCATTGCTGAGGATTGTATGATCTTTGAATAATATCGGTCTTTAAATGCAAGATATTTAAAATGTACCTGAAATATACTTGCAATAGTTCCACTTTAGCACAGATATACTTCAGTATATCTTTAGTTGTACTTCAGCACTACTTCTGCACAATTAAAGTGCATTAAGTACAAAATTAGTTGTTCCAATTTAGCATACTTTAAAGTATACGGGTTTAGTATACTAAATGTACAATTGCAGGATATTTTTATTAAGTACATAAATATGGAAATGTATTTCTACACATAACATGAAATAAATGTACTTTAAATACATTTTAGTATATTTATTTTTTACTAGGGTTGTTTTAATATAAAGCTAATTGTTATGCATCAGAGACTATCTCAAACCCTAAGGGGCAGTTCACATGATATGCTCTTGTGTTTAGAAAATTCTAGACAAAGCACTTTGAAATGGAATGGTAAAAGCTGAACTACTTTTAATTTGATGCACCACCCTAAAAATCGCAGTGCTTGTGGTGCCAAACACTAAAAACCGGTGATGCAGCATCGAAGACTATGCATTTGAGCATAAATGTGAAAACAGTAACGAACAGGAGAACATGTTCGGACTGAAAGGCCCTTAACCCTAACTAAACAATTATTTTGCATTTGTAGAATAATAAAATCAATTATATGGAAATCCTTATAATTACTAAAAATTAGATCATTATAAAAACCTGAAAAGTTAAGAAAAAAGACTTTGAAATTGTTAGGTTTTTCTCTGGTTTTGACATCAAAACAAACATGCATAACGAGTAAAAAAGTTTTTTTTTTTTTTTATGCACTAACATTAAACACTTTTTTTTAAAATAGATTAATACTTTTATTCAGCTAGGATGCATTAAACTGATTAAGAGTGACAGTAATTTTAAATCAAAGACTGTTCATCAAATATCCTAAAAAAAAATAATATTAAACAGCACAACTGTTTTAAACATTGATAATAACAAGAAATGTTAATCATTGCGAAATGCAATGCAAAATCAGCATATTAGAATGTTTTCTGAATGATCATGTGACACTGAAGACTGGAGTAATGATGCTGAAAATTCAGCTTTGCATCACGAAGATGCAGTTTAAAGTTCTTATGATTCTTTTATTTCCTCCACAATAATTCCATTAAAGTTCAAGAAATGTTGAGCACATAAGTGCCGACAATTACTTTGTTTCCATGAGTGTGTGTGTGTGTGTGTGTGTGTGTGTGTGTGTGGTCTGAAACAAGCATATAATAACAAAATTAGAATAAATTCATTAAACTCAGTAAATTCATACAATGCAAGGTAGCAAACAAACTTCCAACAACAGTCAGCGAATATATAAACAAATTAATCACTACTTCTATACAAGTACCTTTAAACAATGAATATCAATCGAACAGAATATAAATTCAGAAAGGTCGCAGTTAACATGAGCTGAAGTAAATAAATTAACTTAACTGGTGCATATAATATGCACACAACACCAAACATGAAGCAACCATCAAGTCCTTATTCTTTCACCCACTCCATGCGGGTCTATTTCTACAAGACACTAATCAACGCTACCTGCTGGAATTGGGCGGAGCGTAGCGTCTTTACGTTGCTGTGTTGACAGCGCAATCAAACACTGGCTGATCACCAGAACACTTCAAAATAAAAGTGCATTTATGTTGGGCCTTTTTAACAGCCGCCCCCAGATTTCTAAAGAATGAGGAAATCTGTACATTATGAAAAGGCCAAAGTCAAAATTTCAGTCTGGTATCACAGGTAGCTGTACAACTTTTGCCACAGGTCGCACATAAGACTTGTCTTTAACTTTTACTTCAACAGTCCTGATTCCTGATATTGTCCACCCCACAGAATACTTGAGAGATCTGACCAATAGGCCATAGGGCCCTGGGAAAATAATGGGTCCACAATCATAACAGTAGTTCCCACCTTAATATCGGGTGACTCTTGCTGCCACTTGCTGCGAGTCTGAAGACCAGGCAAATAGAACTTGATAAACCGCTTCCAAAAGTGATCTGCTATGATTTGGCTATGACGCCAACGACGTCGAGTCAATAGTTTACTTTGAGGGTACTGTATATCACTTGAGGAAAGGTTGAATCAGGTCGCCGAGGAGCGAATTAGGAGTAATAGGATCTGGATCAGAGACATTGTGGGATGTATACCCCAGGGGTTTAGGATTTAGGATCCCTTCAATCTCAATGAGCACAGTGTGAAGATTTCCTCAAGGATCTTTGGGTTCTTTTGAAACTTCTGACACACTGGACAATCTTTGTGCTGATAGCGTCAGATTGCTTTCCTACACCGAAGGATCCAGTATTTCCTACCTATCTCTGCCAGTATTCGCTCAGGACCTGGGTGGAGTAAAATTAAATTTAAAAATTAAATTTAAAAAAATTAAAATTAGTCCATAAATTACTCACCCTCAAGTCATCCTAGGTGTATATGACTTTCTTCTTTCAGACAAATCCAGTCGGAGTTATATTAAAAATTGTCTTTGATCTTTCAAGGTGTTTAATGGAACTCAGCGGGTGTTGCAGTGCATCAGTCCAAATCACGGCTCCGGGGGGTGAACAAAGGCCTCCTATAGCGAATAGATGCGTTTTGTAAGAAAAATATCCATATTCAAAACGTAATAATCACTTTAAAGGGGTCATATGATGCGATTTCAGTTTTTCCTTTCTCTTTGGAGTGTTACAAGCTCTTGGTGCATAAAGAATATCTGTAAAGTTGCAAAGACTAAAGTCTCAAATCCAAAGAGATATTCTTTATAAAAATTAAGAGTCAACCACGCCTACCTAAAACAGCTCCATCTAACATGCCACCCACATGTCTACGTCACGATGTGGGAAGATTTGCATAACGCCGCCCAAATGTTCACGCAAAGTAAGAAGGTGTAACTTTTATTCTCGCTGTAGTATTGTTGTTTCCGCCGCTGCCATGTCGTGAAGGCGCTGTGTGTTTCATTGGGAAAGCGAAACTACTTTGTTTGGCCTTCCAAAAGAGGACGATATCCGCTTTGTCATGCCTAAAGCTGATCCATGCTGGTCGCTGAGGAAATACATCAACTTCGTGCTGTGGATCGCCGGATCGGCTTTATGCACCAATAGCTTGTAATACTCCAAAGAGAAAGGAAAAATTGAAATCGCATCATATGACCCCTTTAATATAGCAAAGGAAAGTCTCCTCTTGGCTTATATCGAAATCCTCCGACATTCTTCTTTACAAATCCTTGTTTTGTACTTCTAATTAGTGACTGTTGTTTTGTTTTGATCTCTCCCCTGCGCTTCCGCATTCGTCACTTCTGAGCAGCGCATGCGCAATGCTGTCATCTTACGCCATCCACCCGGAGCTGCTTCCGTTTACAACATTGAGCGCAAGCTAGATTAAATTGATTATTACGTTTTAAATATGTTTTTTTTTTTACAAAAACGCATCAATTTGCTACAGGAGGACTTTGTTCACCCCCCGGAGCTGTGTGAGACACTTTTTATTAAGGATGGGCACTTTTTATTTAACTTCTTTTGGATTGATGCACTGCAACACCCGCTGAGTGCCATTAAACAGCTTGGAAGATCAAAGACAATTTTTAACTCCGACTGGATTAGTCTGAAAGAAGAAAGTCATATAGACCTAGGATGACTTGAGGGTGAGTAATTTATAGGCTAATTTTCATTTTTGGGTGAACTAACCCTTTAATGAGAAAGGTAGTGACTGGATGTTGGGGATTAAGGACAAGAGGATGCATCGACTCCGGCTCAGTCTTTTCACAGCGGTGAAGATGACCTCCTATCTTTAAGAGCTGACTTGCCGGTTCAAGTTCGGGGGTGAGGCTAGGAAGTCAATTGTTAGTATTCAGTTGTTTTCCAGCTGTAAGCTGTGTCATTTCAGAAGGAAAGCTTTCCCATTGAGCTTGCTGAAGGATAGCTATCTCAGCCTGTTGAAATACTTCAGATGATACCCATGTTCCCTGAGAGATTCTGCAGTGACAGCCAATAACTCTTGAAAGGTCAGACATTTGCTTGGATCAGGTATAGCCAAATGTGCAGTATTAGTCAGACCACAGAATGTATAGTTTCTTAGTCCATCACCAGCTACCGGACAGGATGGCGGGTTAACCGGCCACTGATTAGATGGAAGCTGAATGAATGATGACCCTGTATTCCAACAACTTTGTGGCCCTGGTTCTGCTAGCCTTTTACCTCGAGTGATGTCATTGGCAGGATTACTTTCTGAATCCACATAGTGCTGTTCACAGCGTTCACAACTTGTGGTGAGCAGGCCCTGTTGCTCTCTGGAGCCATGTTGAACAGCTTGAACTGGTCCTTGCAAAGTCCATCCCAGACAAGTTCTAATTGCAGCAGGACCACCTGGTGGGCCCAAGCGAACTGGCTCAATGGGGGTAACTAAATGAGGGCAATCAGAATCAATGATCAAAACTGGATGAGCAGTTTCAATCTCTTGGAGGAGAAGACCTTTAAGGTGGTGGTACATTTTCCATAAAGCTTTAACAGGATGACTGTGTGCTCCAAGCCCCAACTCTGATGCAGTGAAAGCTCCATTGATCCGATATATCTTGTTTGGCTGGCAGGCTGGTGAAAGGTTAAAGGAAGCAGCCGCCCCATGCAGGATCTTTAACTCTTGTCTTGTGCGCAGGGGCAAGTCCTCTGGCTTACCTTTCAGTTTCAGC